TCACGATTGCAGGAGAATATTCATGACGAAAAGTCTTAGTTTGAAATCGTTTTCACACAACTGGACAGGACTGGACTTTGTCACGATAGGTCGCTTGGAGGCATTTAAGGACGGCTAGTTGAGTTGTATGAGATGTATTCACCCTATTTCGTCTAAGGTGATGAAGGACTGGTATAAGAAGCATTTTCCCACAATGATGTGAGTTGAACAACCGATTACTATACATTATTTTTTCGAATTAAGTATTGTTCTTGTGACTACCAGTAAACCATTAATATGAGATGTATTCATCCAATTTCGTTTAAGGTGATGAAGGACTGGTAGAAGAAGAATTTTCACCTGACGTTTCCTATGCATTTCACATAACCTTGCTTTCCCAAAAGTTGTTCTCATCCCGGCTGGAGTGGACTGCAGTTTCAAACTCGCATCGGTCTTATCAACTTTTGGGAAATTCAATGGAAACGTCAGCTCAACTCATATAATCGTGGGAAAATTCTACTACCAGTCCTTCATCACCTTAGACGAAATAGGGTGGATACATCTCATACTACTGATTTACTAGTAGTCTCAAAACTCTTCTCCAATACGAAACTAGTTGAGTTGTCCCCCAACCAGATGACATTTATAGCAAGGTTGTCGCAAGGTTAAGCAAGCATGTGCACTACTTATTTTCGAAATAAGTAGTTTAAGAGCCTATCAGTAGTCGTTGCATAAGGGCTTCGTCAAAACTATGCCGCCTGAGGTGGATGGACGGACGAGACGACTGGGACTGGGACTGGGACGAGGATGGCGCCACTGTCCGGCATCGTCCCGACCCACCCACCAAAGTACCCTTCGACCCTGTCGAGTCCCGATTGCACAACCAATCAGGCGACAGACAGATTTGTGTTTTTTAATGAGCATATCACAGACGGATTGAACCAGTTGGCCGGATCGGCGGAGCTGAATCGGGACCATGAGCGATGGGAGAGTGTAGCTGTGACAATTAGTGTGGTCAGGGTCTGATACCCGCCCACCAATTGCCGTCATACAAGCCACTGCCCCCCCCTACAACCAACAGCTGATGGGCACTTTTGTGCACTTGACCACTGTCCTCCAGATGCATTAGCTCCGCTTGATTGGCAGCGAGTGAGGACATCAAATCGCGATGCAGTCGGCTTCTTATTCGGCGAAGATGAGCAGCATTTTAGCGCATCGAAGCCCCGTCGATTCCGGTTAGGCTCCGGGTCGTCTCAGCTGGCAATTGCTTAAGCCCCCTTTGCTGGCCGGCATGTTTGTCCCTCGACACTTCGCCAAATCTGTACCTCCATTCTGCAAGTCCAGACGACTAGACCTCCGTTTTGGCACCCCCGCCCTCTCCGCCTGCATGTATTTATGCCGTCGGGCATGTGAACACGACACCGGCTTCGAACATTCCGCGGCCTCGTCACAATCAAATTATTTTAAAAGTAGTTCCAGTTGCCTCTGCACCATGGCGCATCAGATCGTGGCCGCCGATACTTTGCAAGAGGCGCCCAAACTTTTGAGCATGACACACAAACACCTCTAGAAATGGCCACATGCAGACTGACACGACCGGTGGTACTTGAGGCCGACGCCAGTGCCGTGCTGGCGGGGACGATTGAAGGAAGATGGAGAGGAGGACTTTTGGGGCGGCAAAAGTGAATTGCTTTTAAGCAATCTAGCTTTCGAAAAAATTAGGAAATTGGCTGAAAATGTGCTCCCGCCTGTCATGACTGCTAAAAACACGATGCCGACAGAAGACAGAAGGGTAGCAACGAGAGAGTGGTAACGCTAACAGTCGACCCGGTTAGAAGAGAGGCTGGCTTCGCAGACATGTAGCATTTGAAGGCTGATCTTCATGCTTCGCCAGGCATGCGAACTAACCCCAGCTTCGGCATGCTCATGTAAACGTCAGAATGTCGCATGGTTGTGCCCGAAGTGGAGCTTACAGGCCAAACAACTTGCTCGTTGCCATATCGTTTCCAGGGGCCGATGGAGGGTTACAATCTCCCTCCCTTTCCCACTTATCCTGAATGGTGAAAGCCAACCCCGACAAGGGCGAAACTGGGCTGTGTCGTTCGGGCCATCAGAGAATTGGGTCCAAAAATATGAAAAGTTTTCGGGTCAAATATGGCTTTAATCGCAGCAATTGCTTTGAGAAAGAGATTTTTCCCCGAGTCGGATGGAGTGATTCTATTTCGTTTAACTTGATGAAGGATTGGTAGATCCTTTTTTCCACAAAGCTACGAGTAAACCTTACATACACATTGGATTTCGCATAGCTTTCCTTGCCCAAAAGATGTCACGTGAAACCTACTCAAATCT